TCATATACATACAAATTTATCTGTAATGATTCTTTAGGAAGGGCCTGGTGTTCTGGTTAGCAAAATAGTTTAGGCATGTGAGAGACAGCATTCTATAAAACCAGAACTTTTTCTCTTTTTATTTGATCAGTTAAAGCTGTACTTCAGAATGGACCATGAATGTGCCGGCTTTAGTCAAGAGCGTGTGTGGTGTATAATGAACATTCTTAAAGTTTCTTGGTCACTAATCTTGTGATTGCCCTCAGAATTTTGGTTATACTACAGACAGAATGGGTGCCGAATCTAACAGAAACCCTGAAATTTCATTCCTGAAACAGTTTGTGCTGTCGTCTTGCTCTTGCTTCATTCATTCCTCACGGGATATGTGTTCCGGAACTTCCCTGGGCGGAGCCCTAAGGCAGGGTTTACAAGCGCTTCTAATTCTAGAGCATTTTTCCCAAGTAACTTTGCTCAATTGTATCGCTATTCATTCTCATGTCAAAGTGTTCCTGTCGGATAGCATAGATGAATGTTAAGTTGGGTTAATGTGTAAGGACCTATGTTTTAGTACGAGCTGTGTTTCATCCGAGTAATAACACTGCAATGTACTATCTGAGGAAATGCTGGAAACTAGATAACTCTTAAAGGCTTGATTTTCTTTTTGTAAAATATGGTTACTACTCATGCCAACTCCTGAATTTCTTGTAAGCATAAACATGAAAATGCATGAAATGAACATTCTCTGATAATGTAGTAAAGTGCACAAATGAACAGCTGACAACTCCTGTCATTATCATTATTTTTTTTTTAATTTGAGTATATTTGACACACAATGTCCTATTAGTTTCAGATGTACAGCATAGTAGTTAAACAACTCAAGACAGGGGCGCCTGGGTGGCTCAGCCAGTTAAGCATCCAATTTCGGCTCAGGTCATGATCTCACGGTCCGTGAGTTCGAGCCCCGCATCGGGCTCTGTGCTGACAGCTCAGAGCCTGGAGCCTGCTTCGGATTCTGTGTCTCCCTCTCTCTCTGACCCTCCCCCGTTCATGCTCTGTCTCTCTCTGTCTCAAAAATAAACAAACATTAAAATTTTTTTTTAATAAATAAATAAATAAATAAAAATAAACAACTCAAGACATTATCTGTGCTTACAAGTGTACTTACTCTTTGTCACCGCACATCACTATCACAGTACCATTGGCCGTATTCCCTGTGCTGTGCTATTCATCCCTGTGACTGATTTATTCTATAATAGAAGCTTGTACCTCCCTGTCCCCTTCACCCATTTTTCCTACCTCCCTTCTGGAAACCATCTATTTATTCTCTGTGTTTATGGGTCTGATTCTGCTTTTTGTTTGTTTACTCATCTGTTTTGTTTTTGAGATTCCACATATCAGTGAATCGTATGGTGTTTGTCTTTCTTATTCTGACTTATTTCACTTAGGTTCAGCCATGTTGTCACAGATGGCAAGATCTCATCCTCTGCTATGGATGAACACTATTCCAGGATACATATGTAGCATGTATATAAATACAAATACAAATATGAATATAATACAAATATAAATATAAATATAAAGCATACGTATATTCTACCAATTGATGGGCACTTGAACTGCGTCCATATCTTAGCTATTGTAAATAATGCTTCAGTAAACATAGGGGTGTGTATATCTTTTTGAATTAGTGTTTTTGTATTCTTTGGTAATTCCAGTGGTGAAATTACTGGATCATAGGGTAATTTTACTTTTAATTTTTTTAATGTTTATTTATTTATTTTGAGAAGGGGGTGCAGAGAAGGACAGAGAGAGAGAGAATCCTAAGCAGGCTCTGAGCTGTGTGCCCAGAGCCCAATGTGGAGCTCTGTCCCTCGAACTCTGAGATGGTGACTTGAGCCTAAACCAAGACTTGGACACTTAATCGACGGAGCCACCCAGGCACCCCTGTAATTCTCTTTTCAATTATTTCAGGATCCTCCATACTGTCTTCTTGAGGGGCTCTACCAGTTCCATTCCCACCAACAGTACACGAGGGTCCCTTTTTCTCCATATTCTCACCAACACTTTTTGTTTCTTGTGTTTTTTGTTTTATTCTGACATGTGAGAGGTGATACCTCACTGTAGTTTTTATTTGCACTTCTGTGCTGATGAGTGATGTTGAACATATTTTCATGTGTCTTTTGTCCATCTGTGTGTCTTTGGCAAGTGATTTTTCATGTCTTCTGCATATTTTTAGCTGGATTATTTGTTTTTTTGCCTTAAGGTGTTTAACTTCTTTATATATTTTGGATACTAACCCTTTATCGGTTATGTATTTGCAGATGTCTTCTCCCATTCATTAGGTTATCTTTGAATTTTGTTGATTATTTGCTTTGCTGTGCAGAGATTTTTATTTTGATATAGTCCCAATAGTTCATTTTTGCTTTTGTTTCCCTTGCCTGAGGAGACATAGTTGGAAAAATGTTGCTATAATGAATGTCAGAGAAATTAACTACCTGTGTTCTCGTCTAGGATTTTTATGGTTTCAGGTTTCACATTTAAGTCTTTAATATATTTTGAATGTATTTTTATGAATGGCATAAGAAAGAAGTCTGGTTTCATTCGTTTTCATGTTGTTTCTAGTTTTCCCAATATAATTTGTTGAAAACACTGTCTTTTCCCATTGCATACTCTTGCCTCCTTTGTTTAAGTTTAACTGATCATATAATTGTGGGTTTATTTCAGGTTCTGTTTGGTTCCATTCATCTGTTTGTCTGTTTTTTGTGGCAGTACGGTCATGTTTTAATTACTTTATGTAGTATATTTTGAAAGCTGGGATTGTACTACCTCCAGTTTTGTTTTTCTTTTTCAAGATAACTTTGGCTCTTTGGGGTCTTTTCTGGTTCTATACAAATTTTATGATTGTTTGTTCTAGTTCTGTGAAAATATTGGTGGTATTTATATAGAGATTGCATGGAATTTTTTGATTGTTGGGTAGTATGGACCTTTTAACAATGTTTTATTTTCCCAATCCTTGAGCATAGAATACCTTTCCATTTATTTGTGTTTTCTTCAGTTTCTTTCATTGGTATATTATAGATTTTGAAATAAGGTCTTTCACTTCTTTGGTTAAGTTTATTCCTAGGTATTTTATGACTTTTGGCACAATTGTAAATAGGATTGTTTTCTTAATCTCTTTTTATGCTACTTCATTATTAATATATAAAAATGCAATGGATTTCTGAATATTGATTTTGTATCCTGAGATCTTACTGAATTAATTTATCAGTTCTAGTAGTTTCTTTTTGTTGTTGTTGTTGTTTGTTTTGCTTGTTTTTGCTAGACTCTTTAGGATTCCATATATAGTATCATGTTGTCTGCAAATAATGGAAGTTTTACTTCTTTCTTACCAATTTGGATAACTCATTTCTTTTTCTTGTCTGATTGCCGTAGCTAGGATGTCTAGTACTATGTTGAATAAAAGTGGTGAGAGTGGGCATCCTTGTCTTGTTCCTGACCTTAGTAGGGGAAAAACTCTCGGTTTATAGTTTACATTTTTATATCTCAGAGATGGTTTATATATTTTAAGATAATTCAAATAGAATAGAAGGAGAAGTTCAATTAAGGGTCCACTGCAGGAAACAAATTGATAGAAAAGATGAAAATGACCTATATTAAGCATGCTTTCATTGAGCTATTGGCAGGACTTGAGGACAGTTCAGTTGTGGAGTCTGAAAGAATGAGAAGGGTCAATGCCTTCCCTAGGGCTTTCAGAGAGACCAACTTGGTAAAAGGGTGGGGCCATTGACCTAGAGTGGATTACGTATATGTCTGGGAGAGGAAATCAATATGCTGTTTTGGGGTATGTTGAGTTAAAAATAGAACATCTAAGTTGACTATTATATATATTACTTGGGAGTTTAAAGAATGAGTGTAGCCAGAATTTAACTTTGGGAGTTGTGAACAAATAGAAGTTGTTTAAAGGACTGGAAGAGATTGTAGAGTCTAAAAATACAGGTAGAGAAGGTAGACATGCCCGTGACTGAAGCTTGGGAATGTTTTCATCCTAGGAATTTAGTGGTTCACATAGCATCTGTTTGGGTTTGAGGTCAAATCTACCACATGCCAGCTCTGTGTTCAAATTGTTTACTTCACCTCAAGGGCTGGCTTAAGCGCTGAAAAGATTATACTGACACACCAGTGTCACTTACTATAATTCAAAAAAAGACCAACCTAAACCCTAATGTAAGTGAGGATGTCCAACCATCTTGACTATTTTTATTACAGTCTAAAAGTTTTATCAAATCTTAATTTATTTTTCTAAAAATTATTTAACTATCCCGACTTATCTTGGTCTATAACTGGGACAAGTCAACATCCTTTAACTCCCCATAAGCCTCAAGTTCATTAACTGAAAATTTAAAAAAATGTGTGGTAGAATATATATGTATCATCTTTACTATGCTTCTTGCACATAGTAACCATTCAACAAAGATTAGGCATCATTATTTTACTATTATTACTATCACCGTCATTAGTAATGATATCCTAAAGGATTGTTAGTTACGAGGATTAATTTATCTATGAAAAAACCTAGGTGTTAAACAGCACAGAGCAGATGGTACTTTCTGTCTCCTCCCCATCCGTACCTATCCTTCCACTTTACAAGTCTTCCAGATCTTCCGCATTTCATTGTGCTCTGAGTGTCAGAGTTCAGAAAAGCACAATGAAAGAACATAATTTAGAATTGTCTTAGAAGCTAAACTATTAAGCACACATGGTGTTTCAGTCGGGTGAGATTCCTACAATTAAAGGAAAGTGGAAGAGAAGACGTTCAAGGCAGCCAGTAGTTTATTATTTCACATAAATCGTTTTCAGTAACAGGTAGAGAGGCTGTGGCATTTCACACGTGGAAGTGTGATGGCTTAATATGATCTTTTACTTCTAAAAGGCCATGCGTTTTATAGATCAGTTTTGCATCATCGATATTCTTTGTTTTCATTTTGTGAAGAGTAAATTCATAATATATAATTTCATTCTAGGGATTACCTGCAAGTCGTGTGAGGTACAGAGTAGATGATGTCCAGTTTCCTTATCCTGCTAGTATTTTTGACGTAGAAGAAGATTCTGGAAGAGTAATAACTCGAGTCAATCTTAATGAAGAACCTACGACAATTTTTAAGGTCAGTGCCGTGTTTCCCTTACATGGTCTGTTTGATATTTAACTTCTGAGAGTTCAGTTTAACAGATGGCTGTACAAAATAATTTAAATTACAAAATAATATATTTTTTAACCACATAGATATTTAGAGAATCAGATAAGCAAAAGAAAAAAGTACACTTGATATTTCACATCTTGGAGATAACTAGAATTTACCATTTTAGTATCTATCCTTATGATGACACTCCATGCAAATGCAAGTGCACACATAATGTGTTTTCAAATAATATGATCAAATAAAGGACACCTGGGTGGCTTAACCTCAGTCTATTAAGCATCTGACTCTTGGTTTCTGCTCAGGTCACGATCTCACGGTTCATGGGATCAAGAATTGCATTGGGCTCTGGGCTGACAGCTCAGAGCCTGCTTGGGATTCTCTCTCTCTCCCTCTCTCGGCCATTCCCCCACCTTGCTCACACATGCACACACCCTCTCTCTCAAAATAAGTAAATTTAACAAAATGAATAAATAAATAAAATAACATGATCCTATTATTCATACTGCTTTTTTAACTTCATAATATATTGCCCATGCCAATAAATACTGGTAGTGGTATTATTTTAATAGTTATATGATGTTCTATTGTATGAATCCACTATTATTATTTTGTCTAATACTTTGTTCTTGGATAATTAGGCTGTTTCTAATTTTTTGTCATGATAAAATTTGCTGTTGTGAACCTCTTTGTGCAATAACTTTTGCTGCTGACCCGATTTCTTTCCCTTAAGTACTGAGATGCAGAATTGTTGGGTCAAGTTTACGTACCCATGATAAGTTATACTTCCAGAAAATTTCAAATAGTGTTACCCTTCACTATTACCATAAATAATCTATTTTATTAAATGTCTGAGCATTTCCCTTTTCTGTAATTACTTAGAATACTTTTTTCATTGTTAATAAAGCCTCTGACCCTGCAATGAGGAAATGCCCTCATCGGTTAACCTTGAGGGTGTCATGGGTACCATGCCTCACATAATCCTACCACTGTTGGGAGAAATTGTTCCATTTGTAAAATATTAACCCAAGGCTAAATCATTGGCTGCAAGATGATCCTTAGTTATGGCTTCATAGTCTAAGTTGAACTGGTTTAGATTAATAGCTGTAGCTTCCAAAATTATACACATTCTTGACAAACACATAGTTTTGAAAATATTTAACATTTCTTAAATAGAAGAATTATTCATGACATAATATGTTATCAAAAACTCAATTATAAATTATAGTAATAAATATTATATAGTTGTTCCATCTTGAAATGAAAGCTTTTCTGCATTTTGCATCATTGGAACTGTTTCTACTATGCAGTGTGGACTTGGTTGTCTATATTTTTAAGAGAGTGTATATCTAAGTGTATTAAACTGGAAAGATTTCCAGTTTTATCCTCCAGAGTGAAGTATTTCTGCCCTATAATCTTGCAGACAATTAATTCCCTGGAAAAATTAATTTCTTTTTATAAGCAAGCTAATTAGCTTTTTGCTATCGATGTGACTGAATTTAACACTTTTTAAATAAGTGTTGGTGCTTATAATGGCACATGTTTTACTGTAGGCATCAGTGGGGTTGTGTAAGAGAAATCAGTTTAACCATTGGAGAGATGTCGCATTGTCTACCTGTTTTTACTGGTAGTGTTTTGTCATAGAGTTAGTAACTCAACTTCTTTGAGTTTTCTTGTCTAGGAAATGAACATAAAACATCTACATGGTGGGACTGGTGTAAAGATTGAGAATATATGTAACATATCCTAGTACAGTGGTTACGACCTGGCAGACAGTGAGGACATGATCACTGTGCCCCCTCTGGGGCCAGGCAGTCCAAAGATTAAAATGATGCCTTCTTTTCTTCTTGTTAATAATCTTTAACATGAATTTGTATTACTTTTTAAGTTGGTGGTCGTCGCTTTTGATGATGGTGAGCCTGTGATGTCCAGCAGTGCCACGGTGAAGATTCTGGTCTTACATCCTGGAGAAATCCCACGCTTCACACAAGAGGAATATAGGTATTGATTTCCATCAGTTTTTGTGATATGTAAAGTTTTTTTTGTTTTGCTTCGTTATGGCCTCTCAAAACTGCTGCAATAAGAGTTGATCAATGAATGGTCCTTCCCATTCTAGTTTAAGTTTTTCTAAATTAACATAATATTACCCTTATTTTAAAAGTTGATATTTAGTTAACATGACAGTTTAGTCTATAAAAATATCAGCTTTCGTAATGCTTTGATGAATAATGAATGCTTTAAAAATAATTAACACAGTCCTTGAAAAATACATTATATTTTGGGGTTTAAACTGCAACTATTTAATGATCCCAATGGTGAGAAGTAGGCATTTAGTTTCATGTTATTGCCAGAGACATAATTTGACATCTGTCTGAAATGATATTTCTCATATAACCAGTGAAAGAGAGAGGGATAGAATGTATGTGTGTGTTTATGTGCATAATACATATTGCATATTATAATATAGAATTAGCATATATACTGTCTTAAGTCAGGATGCCATAATAAAATGCCACAGAAAGAAGGGCTCAAACAAATTTAGTTCTCACTGTTCTAGAGGCTGGAAGTCTGAAGTCAGGGTACCAGCATGGTCAAACTCTGGTGAGAGCTCTCTTCCTGGCTCACATAGAGGAAAGTGAGAGAAAGCAAGCTAATCTCCGGTATTTGTAAGGGTGCTAATCCCAAGATTAGGGCCCCACCCTCTTGTTTCTAAAGGCCTTACCTTCAAGTACTATGCCATTGAGGGTTAAGGCTTTTTAGGAGGACAGTCCACAGGATGTGTGGATGGATAGCTAGATAGAGACAGATACATAGATAGATAGATAGATAGATAGATAGATACATAGATATTCTTAGGAAGTGAAGAATTGAAAAAAATAATAAAACTAAATTTACTATATTTCATGTTTGCACATTACTGTAAGATTTATAATGCTTTCCTGACAATAGAGTATCACTTTCTTTCATGATACAGTTTAGTAGTTTGCTCTATTTAGAGACAGAGTCAACATTACATAATGATGCTAATTAGGACTCAAGAGGAAGGAAGACTTCATATAATAGAATACTTTATCAGATTCTAAAATTTGTATTATTATTGCTTTGATTTATTACTTTCATAATTTCTAAGAACTACGTAAGAACTGTGAGTTAGGGCAAGGGCTGAGATACTGGAAGGCAGATGACACGTCTGGGAACATTTACCATGCTGGCCAAGTAGTGTTTTCCTTTATAAAAAGTTGCCTTTGCAATATGCAAGCAATAAATTAAAGTATATAATTTTACCAGAAAACTCTACATAACATATATGTAAATCACTGAGATGGAAAATATATTTAAAACTTGGGGCTCCTAGGTGGCTCAGTCGGTTAAACATCTGACTTCAGCTCAGGTCATGACCTCACAGTTTGTGGGTTCGAGCCCCACATCGGGCTCTGTGCTGTCAGCTCATAGCCTGGAGCCTGCTTCAGATGCTGTGTCTCCCTCTCTCTCTGCCCCTCCCCCAATTATGCACACGGGCACGCACGCACTCTCTCAAAAATAAATAACCATTAAAATAATTTTTTAAAAAAACTGCATTGAAACTGTTAAGAATTCTTGGTCAGTCTGTTTGAAACACCATTTTCTTCCTTATGTCCATCCTTACCAGTTCCCCTTTTCTTTTGTTGTCATGGTAACCTGTGAACTCCAGTTCTTTGCCAAGGTGCATGTGGTTTTCTGCTTCTAGAGCCCTTCCTTGAACATGTTTATTGTGGTCATGTCAAGAACCCAAATGAATGTAAACTCACTTGTGTTTCTCCCCAACTTACCTAGATTCAACGTTCATAAAAAATGTACTTACTATTTGGGATGGGTCCAAAAATCCTTCAGAGTTTCAGCCGAGCAAAATCCCAACCTGTGTTCTCCCAAAGTTCTCCTCCCATCTAGTCCCTCCTTGGAACCCCAAAGAAGGCCGGAGTGATGATGCCTAATGCTGTCCTTTTGAATAGGCTCTGTGAATGGATCCCCCTTCTCTGGGTTTTCCTCTGCTTCATAGCAGCATGCCTCCAGACGTCGGGAGCACATTGCTTGTTAACTCTGTTAGCCACACATTGGGGCATGAATGCCAAGGCCATAGGTCTCATCAGGGCATTGTTCATTTAGCTTTCTTTTTTTAATTACCCTTATTCCTGCCACCTTTTAAGAATAAAAATGTTTTGTTCAGTGAAGAATTTACCATTCCTTACCTTCTTGGCATACAACTACTAACTGCAAATAGATTCTATTAATGAAGTTGTTAACTTAGAGAAGAAAAAACCCACCAATTACTTGGTGCTAAAACTAAGAGGAGTGACATGAGCTTACAGGGAAGAATTTTTGCCCTTTCTGAAGAACATTTCTAACATTTGCAAATAGTGCCCTTGACTATCCCAATTCGTGAGTTCCTCTGACACATAAGGGAGGTTTGGTAATCTTGTTGTATCCTACAGTTTATGAAGAAAGTCCTAAGAATCGATGTAATTGCCATAATGGATTCAATAGGACTAGGGCACTGAATGGGATTGTTTTCTTTTTTTATCAGACACTTAGAAACCTTGGATAAGAAAAAAGTTGTATCAACCATTGGCAGAAGACACTACGTTTTTAATAGACCAATAATTGAATTTAAATGTTTAAGTAACTTTACATATGATTTAAAGTGTAGAATGAACTATTAAAATAAAAAAACAAACAAACAAAAAAAGACCTAGGGCTGATCTTCATCAGTTCTCTCTCTGTGCTCGTGATTCCAAGTATATAGTGAGTCTGGATCCCTCCCAGTCTTTCCTTCTTCCTCCTGGGCACACAGCTAGACTCCACTTCCCAGCCTAGTTTGCTAAATTGAGCTATAGGACTGAGTTCTGGCAAATAAAATGTGGAAAAGTATGGTCTCCACTGTTTCCTGGCCTTACTTAACCTTTTCCGCATATGGACAGGTAAAATGGAGAAAACACCCAGAGACGCTTGGGAGCCATGTGTTGACAACTTTGAAATATAACAAGAAAGGAGCCTAGGCCTTTGAGTCACAGATAGGAAGAGGAATACTGAACTAGGAATGACATATGTTTACATATATTACATATGACTTTTTTTCGAAATCATTTATAGCCTTGGCCAGATGCACATAACTCCCAGAGATGCTAAATAATGTTATTAGACCTTTACTATCAGTATGATCCCTTGTGTTGGAATTGAATGGTGGAAGAGTATTTCACTTTGGCATAAAGATTGTTTTGAACTAAAATCACTTAAAAAGCACCAGCTGCAGGAAGGACATTCTAATCTCCCTTTTACTTCCTAAACACAGGACCTATAAACTCTGATGTGAAGGATGCCCTCCCTGTACCAGGAGGAAAAATGTTCTTTAATGAGGAGTCAAAGCCAAAAGAGCTGATACAGACAGGACTTGTTAGAATAATTCACATCGCCCTCCGGGCTCCTTCTAGAGTTTAATTTTCCGCAATGACCTCTCCCTGTTCATCCTAATACAAAAGTATGTTGGCGTTGCCATTTCTCTGGATCTTCATTGCCTCATGAGGGCTCTCCTGTCACTTAAAACTTATATAAATGTGTACGTTCTCTCCTACTAAAGTGACTTATGTGTGTTTCATACTTAGACCCAGCCAGAAAACCCTACAAAGATAGAGGTAAAATCCTACTTCCATTACAGAATTGGTCCTGGTGGAAAAACTTTTTCATGTGATCCAATTTGGGGGGACATAAAAGGATAAGCAAGATTTGTGTCCCTGGTGGGGTGTGGGGAAAGCATGAGCACGGGTGGCAAAGGGAAAGCGGTGATCAGAGAGGAGTAGCTTTGCCAGCTGAGATACATGCCGTGTTTACATGTCCTGCATGTCTTCATTCCCGTATTGGCTCTTGAATTGTTTAGGAATAACTAGTTTCAACAGATGTCTAGGTGTGAAGAAAGGTTCTAAAGATAAAATATTCATCCATTTTAGAATATTGAACTCCATTCTTTTTGTTAAATTATTTTATGTTTATTTTTGAGAGAGAGAGAGAGAGAGAGAGAGAGAGAGAGAGAGAGAGAGAGAGACAGTGAGTGGGAGAGAGGCAGAGAGAGAGGGAGACACAGAATCCGAAGCAGGCTCCAGGCTCTGAGCTGTCACACAGCCTGATGCCGGGCTCGAACCTACGAACCATGAGATCATGACCTGAGCTGAAGTCAGAGGCTTAACTGACTGAGCCACCCAGGTGCCCCTCCTTTGAAGGTTCTAATGTGGGTTTCAACGGTGAAAACCAGAGTCACCATGAATAGTTGCTGGCTGTTCCTGGAGTGGAAGTCCCTTCTAGGATTTGTCTATTGTGCAGAATCTTCTATATTAGAAGGCATGCTTCTTACTGCCAGCATTAGAGCTTGAGGGGTGATGCATTTGCTGTGACTGCTCACAGACTATTTTGACATCATTTTCTAGTTCCTGAATGAATAATCTATTAATTCCCTGCCTTTCTCCCCATAGGATTTTAGCATTGGAGAAGCTAGGTGCTGTCTTCAATCAGGTAGCCTTTCCGTTGCAGTATACACCCAGGAAATTTGTCATTCACCCAGAGAGTAACAACCTTATCATCATTGAGACAGACCACAATGCCTACACAGAAGCTACAAAAGCTCAGAGAAAGCAACAGATGGCAGAGGTAATGAGACTTGACTTTTAGGGTTCAATTAAAAGGCACTGAAATTTT